TACAATAGAATTTTTTAAAAAAYAAATGGCTGATCCAAATTTTAAGTGGATGTGGAGAAACTAATATGGTGGTTTGCCAATATAGTGCAGAACTCAACCCATACATTGTTTTGATAATATATTACTTTTCCATTAGTTGTTTTACTATTACTGATGATGACATTTAAGACAGGACAGAAGTATTTGCCAAGGCTGTGTTTCTTGTCATGCCTCAACACAGTCTTTGAATTTCTTTGGAGAATTTTACATGTGAAGCCAAATAGGAGTCTCATCCAGCTCTTCCCTGTATCAGCTGGAGATCTAAATAATTCATGAAAAGTCAGAGTTCAAAACACATTTGCATTCACTTGSCTGGCTGTCAATATGAGAACCACCCCCTTTCTCCTAAGAAAGATCATGCAGACATGGCAGTGTGAGGCAGCTTTACAGTCCAAAAAAATCTGCTCTGGTTTTCAGCAAGAGTATCTGCTGTGGAGAGAAGTTATCCCTCCTCTCCTGCACATGGTTATTCACCATCTGCTSAGGGCTGTGGAATGCCTTGCTCTGCATCTCCACTGCTGAGCCACTGGCCTCTGGCACCGTGATCTTGTGAGCTGAACACTCATTTTCTCATTTTTACAACTTGACTCTATCTACAAACTGCTTGGTAACAAGGGTTTTCAGCTGGACAGAAAACTGCCCAAGCTGAAATCATCACTGCAAAGACAAATGTCAATAGAAAGTTCTGTGAGACAGGTTTCCCAGTCCAAATCTCTGCTTGTGTAACGTGTGATGCTTCCATAACATACATAAACCACAGAATGTTGTCACACAATGCTCTCTTCKTCTCAAAGATACCTATCAGCTCAGCTTTTGCTGTGGTCACTCACCATTTCCATCATAAAGTTCTACTTTGTCACAYTTACAAAATATGGCAATAAAAGATCACGCCAAGACTAAACTTGGCATACAAGTTCTGTCCAGAAGTAACCTCAACTCATCTTTTTCAGCTAGCAAGTGAAGTGACTTAGTCATTTTTAAGTCACTTGAAAATGAAAGCTGCAGAGGTTCAGGTTCTCATCATTTTCCTGCAGTCRCTGCTCTGCACTGTTCAGCTGGGACAGTCTGCAAGGACTCCTGCCCTGGGGAGATTTGTGTCACCAGTGGGATTGCWCATGCTGCTCCCTGCCTGGCCTAAGCACACAGAGTGAGGCTGCAGGGAGATGTTTTTTGGATTTTTAGTGCTGTGCTGCCTGCAGCTCAGAACTGAAGGTAACAAACCTGGGGGTTTCCATTTGCACCACTGGAGGTGCTGGGTGCAGGAACAGGGATCTCACAGCCCTGAGCAGCACATCTCAGACACATCATGGAATCACTGGGAGCATTTCCAGGAACCACAAAGGTGTCTGTATTCATCACTCTGCTCTTTCATGAAGTAYTTATGGAGAATTAGATTTGTAGAAATCAGTCTTGCAAAGTGCTCTGGAACACTACTTTAACAGAAGGACAGTCTACTGCAATACTCGCTCAGTGGTTTTTTTGAAAGTCAATGTAGCAGAGGAACTCTTCAGAAGTGGTTTTTCTCTGTACCTAAATCTCAGTTCTGTCTGTTCCCTGCACCATTACAGATCTGCTGTCTGTAACTGAGAGGTTCTCACTTGCACCTGAGCCTGCACCTGAACCCAAYACCCACCAAGTTCCACCAGTGAACCCTAAGTGCAAAGAAATCCCTCCTAACAGATCCTCTGGTGGGATCTGACCTTTATCTGTATTCAAAGTGATTAATTTTGACATTTGCAGATTTTCAGGAATGAAGAGCAAAAATGAATGATCGCTCTGAATATCTGCCCATTCTGATTAATCATGCACATGACGCACATRAAGACTTCTTGGGAGCTCAATTTGCTGCCATCATCGTGGCTCAGCTGCTCTTTTCTAGATCATTTCAAACCGTTCATGCACTTCACAGTTCAGCTTTCCTCTTGCTCCAATGTGGTAGCAATTAATGCACAATAAACAAGCAGACAATTGTTCCATTTCCAGGGAATAAAATCTCCAAGGACACAAAATGCAGTAGAAATTATCCATCCCTCCTCATATCCTAAGATTCCAAAGAAGAGCAAGCAATTAACTCCACAAACACACCATGTGGTTGAGGCCACAGTGACACAGGCACTTCAATCTGACAAACATTTTACAGTTTGAAAGTTCTGTCCTTCTAAAGTTCTGCTCCTRAAGTCCTGTCCCCTCCTAACTATTSACTTCCTGCTTCTCCTTGGTGCCAGAACTCAGAAGAGTTCAAGAAACCCCACGACAAGGTGGGCCCAAGAGCAGTTTMAACCAAAACCAAGGGGTTTTAGCTTAGTTTAGCTGTCAGCTGGGTCAGCCCCTTGATGTGACTCATMTGTAGTACCACAGAAATGCCAAAGGAGGAGAGGGTGAAATGAGGTGAGGATTGCATAARCTGTGTGGCTGCCAAAGAAACGCTCATGTGAGCACAGCCCCAGTCCCAGTSTTATTCCTGGGGGCAGAAATGTGAGCAGGATCCTGCTTCCTCCACTGGCTTGTTCTCTGTCCCTCCCCTTTGGCAGTGGCAGCTTCCCAAGTTCTCAGGGTCTGGAGCAGCATCTCTGGGTAGCAGAACTGCAAAGAGGTGCTGGGAAAATCACAGCACTAATGATCAGCACTTGTAACGAGACAAATGCAACCCAAGGACACCGATCCTAACTGCTGCAAGGCAAGGGCAGCTTCTCCTTTGCAAAATGCTGCCACTGCTTCCACAGTTCATGGRCTGAAGAGAGGGGTTATGGCATTGAGAAACTGGACCCTGAGAAAATGAGGAAGAGGGAAAATTAAAAATCATAACATACTGTTGCACTTCCATTTGAAAATGCCTTCTTTTCCCTAAGCAGATCCTGTGCTCAACAGCCAGAGGTCACTAAAAGAGGAGGATGTTTGGATGCCTGAAGTGAACTCCACTTTGAGCAAAAAAAAACTGCACATGCAGCTGACCAGCTTGTGGTTTCCATCACTTTCAAGCTCTACTTTGCCCTTTGTTGTGCATGAAACATTCCCTTGGAAAGCCAAGAAAAACTTGGTTTAATAAACACCAAATTAGAGGAAATGCATTTGCCTCCTTGACGTCTTTTAAAATGTCGCTAAGGCACACATTATTCCAGGTCACTGCAATATTTCATTTGGTACCTGTTGTAAAGCAATATGGTCTGTGTCACTGCAAGGGAAGTATGACTGGCTAAATGGATCCTRGGATCATCTTTCTCCTGGAAAAATATCTCAGAGGAGCAAGAGAGATGGTGCTGAAGTCCTGCTGCAAGCTGCCTGCAAACAAATTGAGGCTGGATTGACAGACCTCATAGAAGACTGCTTCTCTTATTAAATGGAACMTTACAGGAGTCAAGGAAATTCAAGTTTAAAATAACAAATCTAGAGCATTCTGGTTATCTACATGCTCCACAGAACCATCAGCATCATAAATAACCGCACCTTTAAAACAAAACTGCTCAAAAAGCTGAGCAGGCAATCCTGCTTTCCTCACACTGGGAAAATGTTCAGCTGCCCATGTACAGCAGATTTACAGGCCTTCCGTGGCAATCTGACAACTCCAAAAGACTCAGGCAGGGAAAAGATTTAGCTCTATAAATACTATTGAACTTCTCTTTCCACTGGCAACAGATCAGTTCAGTGCAGAAGAAAAACCCAAGCTAAGGCTGGAAAAAATACAGAGTTGGGCTTTCAGAAGTGCTCTGCATTTGTCTAGTCCAGCTCTAGTTTGAGCAGGTTAAATCCCAAAACTGAGCACTTCTGGAAGTCAAAACATGACTGTCCACTGAAGCCCTGGAGTAATTGCTTCTTGGAGCAGGATGGTACAMATGTTAAAATGTATCACACGCTACATAATAAAAACAGAGGTTGTGCTCTTTTGCAGGTCTCGTGGTAGAAACTCAGCTGTTTTGCCCAGCACAGGTTCCCCTGACTGTTCACTTGGTTTCTATCCATCTGGATTTTCACCACAGAATTCTGCTTTGAGCTTCTAGTTTGAATACATGAAAGCTCTGCCAAAACCACATCACATTGAAACCACAGGAAATCATGAATTTGGCACTGTTTTGACATGGAAGCTGTAAACAGTGTGCAGGTTCACTCAAAACTGGATCACTGTCCTTTCAGTTATGAAACACAACAAAAMCTCCAGCAAACCAGGTCAGAATTCTTAACTACTGAAGCAAAGAGAAATTATGTGACTTTTGCAAGGACAGGATTTTGTTAAATATTATCCCCTACATTTTATCCTTTAACCATAAGGATAATATGAAGAATAAAAAGAGAACTTGAGCTTTTCCTTTCCAAGTTTGAACTACGACATGATTTAGCTAATTCCCACAGCYCTAACATACACATATCCTGTTAAAGACATGGCAGCTTTGAGCATTAATAACTGTAAAAGCCAGAGTTGTAGAGGAGATAGGAATATGGCTTAGTTTTACATGCAACATGACAGGTAATAAACTTACACTACTGCACAGGAGCCTCATCACTATAATCCAGGWTATTTCCAGCTCCCAAACACTGGATTTTTTCCCCTCAAGATTCTGATTAGCAAACCACAAGGAACTTGTATGAACACAGAAAAGTCTACAGTATGATTTTTGACTTCAAATTAAACACTGCCCTAAAGAAAGACTTACTTGTCAACAAGTCACTAGTTCATTGAGGATGAAATGAAAACAACCTAGATTTCCAGACCAAGCCTGAGAACAATCCAGATTCCAAACCAGTGTTTGAATGCAGAGCTACATGAAGGTGGTTTGATCGAATTTAAAAATGAATAGGAAGCAAAATGTAGTGACTCAAAAGATTTCTATTACTGCACTGCCTGCAAGAAAACAGTTTAATCTTGCTGAGTTTCGTTATAACCAGATTTTTAAACCAGGCAKTCTGAATGTCAGGAAAAGCTCTGCAGGGATCCTGAACACCAGAACCACCCATCAGCCATATCTGACCTGTCATAGAGTTTTCAGATGTGCACAGTTGCTCTCGCAGCTTTTCCACGTCGTCTGGRTGAACCTGTTCATACAAAGTGCTGCCAAACCACTCGGACTGAGGCTGGTTCAGCACAGGAGTCACAGAATCTGATACGTAGATCACTCTTCCTGTCTCAGCAGCAACTACAAACAGGAACCCGTCTGCAGCCTCCAGGATAAGATGTTTCAGTTCCTTGCAAAGAAAGGATTTGATTAGAATGCCAGAAAGAAAAGGGAATTAAATATAACATCTGTCATTGTCAGAGAATATTGTTTTCTTGTGATCTTAGCAGTTGATCAAAACCCAGACACAAATTTTCACTGATGTAACAATATGACCAAACTTGCAGCAAGGCATAAATTGCCCATCTCAATAACAAACAACATTTTGTTTCCAGTTATTGCTTCTCATCTTGTGATCTCAATGCACTTTAGGAAAACAAACAACTAATACTCACTGCATAATCTGTGATAGGCATCTAACATTAAAAAATAAAAGGATATTTCAGAGTGCAAACAGAGGAAATGAACAGCTCTAACTCATGGCAAACTCATCCCTTAATTAAACGTTCTGAATAATTTAATTGGAAAGAAACCAATAAGACTTTCTAGTTTGGTTCCCCCTGGCTCTGCTCGGGATGAGCTCTGTTTGTAAATTAAACAGTCMCTGGATAAAATGCAGAAAGAGCAATGGGAACAAAGAAAGGATCCCCAGGCCTCTTCTTCCATGAAAGTGCACGTGGCAACAGCATCACCCAGAAATGCTCAATACAGCTTGAAAACTTCTCATGGCAAAGGATAACTACCACTGCAACTCCTGGAAAACAAGCTTCAACTGCCTTTGGTGGCTTTGGTGACCACCAGAGCTTAAAATACTGCACCTGGAACTCCTGAATCCCAGGGGGAGACAGCTCAGCAGGGCTAGTGTGCAAGTGGCGGATATTAGATGATAAGTGAGGATAAAAATCTGGCAAACTACTAAGAAATGGGTAACTCATCTCAAGAAACACTCAACAGACTGTCAACTTCTGCTACTTTGTTATAGAGAAAGTACATTGATCCTGAYCCTAAACTGAAATCTTCACAGCACAGCTGGCCATGCTATACTGAGGGCAATATGACCAGTTTTGCACATATTATCAAAAAAAGATGAAAACAAACCCTGTAATTCTGCAAGATTAAAAAAAACCCAAAGAAATTGCAATGAGAAGTGATTAGGGTGTGCATCAGCAGAATGGCACAGTCCCTCCAGAAACACACCTCAGGAGAGCTGGAATGAGCAGTTGTGAGCACTGAGGGGTCGGCAGCAGCTGCTGTTTACCTACGAGAGAGAACTATTGCCTCCAGCCATAACTTACATGTGTGAGTGCTTAAAACCATCCTCAGACCACAAAAATGAACATCACACCCATAGGACTTGAAACAACACTGGAGGTGGTAGGAATTTCCAATGTGCTCAGTTAAACACAGATCTCCTGCAAGCACTGGGTGCATMTTCCTTCTTCCATCCAAAATGTAACCAAGGAAGAACCTCAGCCAGTACAGATGGGATCCATCTCTGTCCAGTTCAACCAGCATTAAGACTAAACAATGTTTTTAACCTTCCTCTAATCCCCAGAGGGAGGGGCAGGTCTTTTCAGACTCATTTTGACTTATTTTTGAGAATCTTTGCTAAGATGGGAAGAACCCAGACTTGGAGGTAAAAATTCCTTTCTGGCAGGCAGCGAGTGAGTTGCTCTTCAGGTGGACAGACCTCAGTGGAAAGAATGGCAATTTGCTTCTCCAAAAAGAAAGATCTATCATAATGTTAAGATCAAGTCCAAACAGTCACAAAAACCTGATTGTATTTACACCTTGGATATRTAACTGGTACCAGTTGCTACACAACAGTGGAGGATCAAGCTGAGCCTCTACTCCTCTCAGCATTTCCTCACACCTTTCAAGACCAAAAAAAAAGCCAGAGAGAAACCAACATTTCTGTAAATTCTACCTGTTCTGTAAGAAAGGAAGGCTTGTAAGCTCCATCAGTAGATTTGTTGCCAGTGCCCCTCATGGATTTCATGTGGGAAACAGCCATGCGAAGAATGGTCAGCTTGTCGGGTTTCCGAGCCAAGGCGCTGCACGTGGGCACCATGTCCGACAGCTCSGTGATGTACTGGGTCATCTTGTTCCTCCTGCGCCTCTCRATCTCACTGTGGTTCTCCCTGAGCATTTAAAGAAACACCAAAGCAACAGAGAAGAGATGTGAGTGCCATAAGAATCTGAACTGGAGGTAATGAATCATAAAACTTCGTGCTTGTTTTGTTGTTTGCACCCCAGGAGAGCAAAGYGCTTTACAGAGCCAACCACTGTTATCCCTGAGTTTACAGACAGAAAATCCAGGCCACAGACAGATAAATATGATTTGCCTGTAGCTGTGAAAAGAACCTGTATTTCTACTTATTGGCTTGTGGCCTTAATCTCTTAACCAGTTTAATCTCCTTTGGTTTAAGGACAAACATGAAGTAGAAAAATGTGAGGAACTGACATCTGCCAACTCCAGTCAAACTCCTGAATTTGCTRTGATGCATCTCTCAGAAGCTTGTAAAAGGTGTCCTTTAGAGGAGACCTCTCACTCACAACTGCATCAGGGCAGGAAAGAACCATCAGCACCAACTTACAAAAAAAAAACCCCACTCAATGACAACACAGATCTCAAATAATGCTGTTGGGAACATCCCCCTCCCTGCAAGGAGTCACTATGTGCTTGCAGGATCAGACTGCAGCACTGGGACCATATATGGTATAACAGCACATACCAAAAAAAAAAAATCCCAATAAATAAATAAAATGAGTACAAAAGACAGCGAGTAAACATCTGGCTTGTCAGACATAGACCAGAATTTATGTTCAGGGACAATTCAGCACAGCAGGGAAGCAACAATGACAGTACTTGATGCTGCCCCAAATGGGCTGGGCTGTGATGCTCTCATCCTTTAGAGGAATCACATGGCTGAGGTGGTGAGTCAAATTTGAGAAAGCCCAAAATGGACACCCACCAAAATCTTTCAGAAATAAMGATCTCAGGGTTCAGTTTTCCCATTCTGGAAATCACCACTGCTTGATCAGCGTTAAGGAATCCCACCAATAGATATATCCAAAATGGTCCAAATGGACCTAGAATGCTTCAGTGCCCAGCACTTGTTCTTCTCATACTGTACCTGTCAGGTGGCAGCTAAATACAAGTACACGACAGGTAGATGATGCTTCAGTTGTCAAAGCAGCATCTTCCACTGATTTCAATGAGCTGTGCATGGCATTTTCTTGTGGGATCGCTGGCTGATCCAACAAGATGTGAGAGGTGATCACTTGGAGAGTCCCCCAGCACTGACTGATGTGATAACACAACATTAAAAGAAACTGTGACATTTTTTGGAGCTGGCTGCTATGAAGACTGACCATGAAAGCAGAAGCTAGGCTTGGCACAGTGTCTGGCTACTTTTAGGAATGAAGATCTTTTCTTAAAATGCAGGAAGGAATTGTGTGCTGCTCCTGAAATAGAGGAATGCATGGCCTTGGCCTGCTTTGGGTGCTCTGTCCCTGCACATACAGGTGTTCCATGCATGAGGCACTGCCTGCAGAAACACCACTCTGTGCAGGGTTATTATTCCTGTGCTCACTGGCTGATGTGCATAAATCCAGCTGTGACAGCCCATGGCTGCTGAGGAAATGACAGCCAAGCCTGGCCTGAGGTCACTCCTGTGCCACTGTGAGTGTCCCTTTGGTGTCCCCTGGCTGAGGAACAGGGTCTGCACAGACGAGGGAGGGAGCGGTGCCTGCGGGAGCTGCATCCTACACACACCAAGCACAACAGCTCGTGTGACACTGCACATGTACAGCCAGCACACGCGTGTACATGTCAGCCTGGACATGCACATCAGTATGGACACGGGCAAGAAAAAAGCATTTTTACACAGTGAAAGCTTGCTCTAAGTTCAGCATTTTCACAGAAGCGGTGATTAAGAAAAAAGAGAGAGAGAGACAAAGAACAGACATATTCAACATATATTTTACATTTATAAATACATATTGCATTGCCTATCACTCTACTACTACTGCTGGACATTGAAAACAACCATTATAGAGAATAAACAAAGAGACTGCAAAACTTCCTGAGAGAAAATCCCAACAGTCCACTTCATTTATGATCTTAAAAGCTAGAAAGTAAYAGCATGTTAATCTACTCTGAAATTTGTTCAAGCAGACAACACCCCAAAAGTTTCCTGAAACTCGTTCAAATTTAAATCCTTAAAAGAAAAAGAGGGGATGTGCTCCTCTTCCAAAGTGCTTCCTAGGAACCCTGGCATTCATAAACTTGCACAGAATGATGTCCTAATTCTGTCATTTCTAACTTTGTTTTTATATGGAAATTACAGAAGGACATTAAATTCTGGGATACTGGGGAGCTGATCCAAAACCACTTAGGGATTGTATTTCYGATTTCAAGCAGTTTTGGATCAGCCAAAAGATCAGTATGAATGGCATCCTGTAAAAGAAAAACAGGGGCAAAGCATATTTGACTTCCCTTTTTCCTACCTGTCCCTTCTGTGTCAGCAGTACTTTGATCTTCATCCCACCTAAAACAAAATAACCAGCTCCCTAAGCTAAGGCACACGTACTGAGATTTTTTTGGACACGAACATCCCCCTCTTTTCTCTCAGCAGGACACGCCTACCTTGCAAACTTTTCCTTATCACCAGTGATTTGATCACCATCATACCTAGAAACAAAACATAATGCATCAATCAACAAGGGTTATGCATTGCAGGAGAGCCAACACACAGCAAAAARCAAAAAGATTCACAACTGCAAACCATTGCAAAGAACAGCAAGGAAAMATGAGGGAATGAGAATGATACAGCAAAGAAAACAGAGTCTGATGGTACTTCCAAGCCATGCTGATTCAGAAGCTTCATTTGTGTATTTAAAAAAAAAATAGAAGACACGTTTGAGGGGATTTATGCAAACACTTTGACATACACCGATTTCCTGGGAAACTGAACAAGCAGCACCAATACAAAAAACACCAGTGAGCTTTTATCCACRGCAGCCCGTGAAATATTCATTGCTGTGCTGGAAGGGAATGGTGCTGTATCTGTTCCAGCTCACAACCACGGCTCCCTCCATTCAGCAGAGGGCACTGATGGTCTACAGATAACACAGGAGGGCAGAGACACGGCTGAAGTGAGATGTTTTATGAAAAAGAGCCTTTGGGAAAAGGTTCTGTGGGTACAGACCCTGTACTGACTGCTCTGGAGGCTGGCAWAAGGCAGGCAGGCAGGTGAAACTGCTGGGTAAATAGAAGGGAAATTTAAACTGGCTCAATTCCCTGGAAGTAAACAGGGACCTCCTTCCCAGGCAAATCAACAGAAGGTGGATGCCCAGGCAGGTATGTGTTGTGTTTGTGTTTGTGTTTGAGCAGCACCTTTATGGAGGAAATCCAAACCAATGGGATTTCTGTCCTGTGGGACTAAAGCTTCACTGTTTCTGAAGCGCTGTCCCAAAAACAGGCAGCAATGTAATGTTTCAGTAAAAAATTACAAGCTGCCCCTCTTTCCTTTTCCTCAGAAAACATKTGAAATTAGATTTTGCTAGCATATTTACAGAAAGACTCCCTTGTTTGAGACCAAATTCCTTGTTCCAAACCAGAAAATGAATGTTTAGGAAACACAAAAATAAGGTATTGGCTTTTCTTTTCTTCATTATTGCTCAACAATAATGAAATGAGATTTTGTATTAAAATTACACCTTTCCAAAATGATGCAATTTATTACAACAGCCAGCCTATGAAGGTCCCATGTGTTAGCTAACAMATTAATACAGCCTAAATAAGCATGTTTTAATAATGAACTTTTCCTTTTTTCTGTCTCAAATGATTTAAAACTAATTTTAAGTAATCCACCTATGCAAGTTACTCATTCAGAAACTGAAGACAAAGCTTAAGCAAGTCCTGAGTCCTATTTCTTTATGTCATGTTTARCACCAGTATCCTCAAAACATTCAAGTGACACCACTTTATTGCCCTTGACTCCGCCCAGAGAACAGACTGAGTCTGAATAATTTCCAGCAAAAGGACAGATCCAATAAAGAACGGGCACATGATGGGGGAAGCACGTGCACAGGGCTCTGTGTGAGGATGAGATCAACACTGGGACACTGAGCTGAGCTGAGCTGAGCTGGCAGCAGAGGAGTGCATTATCTCCCACGGAGCACCAACATCACGACTCCTGGGGCTTGTCTGTTCCTCCTTCTCTGCCTGAGTGGCCTCAAGATGTCATTCCCTCCAACCTCTGCCTTTTCCCTTCCCTTTTCCCTTCCAGTGTCCCAGCTGCCCCCTGCACACACGAGAATGAGCACACATGAGCACACAAAGCTCCTTCAGGCACTTCAGCCAAAGCCAGCTGGGTCAGCTTCAACAGTTAAACAGCACTTCTGTGATAACCAAACAACTCTGAGATAAGCTAGGAGTAAGTCATGTGAGCAATCTGGAGAAGGGAACAACTACAAGAGGATGTGTGAACCCTGGGTGTCTSTGCCTGGTTTTTCTGTACTCTCTCTAAAGAGAACTATCTGGGGTCTATACAGCATTTRAGATTTAAATATCAGATTTTGATCTGACACCTAAAATCAACTGTGTCTAAGCATAGCACAGCATGCCTCTCCATTAAAAGCAATGGAATGATTGGCTCAATCCACCACCAAACTTTGAGAGGTCAAAATTATAATGGGGAGACACCTGGCCATGTGTGCCAGTGTGCCCAGAAACCCTGACTGCAGACACAAATCAGGTCCCACTCCTCATAAATTTTGTTCCCTTAACATGTGTTTTCTAGGAAATATCAGGATTAAGCCCTCAAATCACCATTTTTAAAACCAGGGACTGGAACAGCCTTTCTGTAAATGACATCAACTAAACAGGAGCACTCTGGTTTTGTCCAGTAAATGATGGCACCGTATCCCAGTGTATCTTCAGCACATTTCTCTTTCAGACTGACTGGGATAACCTTGTTAAACCCTACAGGGACAGCTGTGTTTCAACATGGCTRCTGCTCCAGAGCTGCAATTACAATTTGAATAATCAGCAGTTACCCACAGGCCCCAAAGTATCTACACCCCTCACTGCAGCTGCTTGGTTTCTAATGAAAAAAAATGCAAACAGTGTGACCAGAAAGAAAAAAGGAAAAGTGGAAAAATGGCAATGAGGCTTTACTGTTTATTTCTAGCTTAGAATATTCCAAGCTCATTTTTTCGTCAGTTTTCACTATTCAGTTACACCTAATGGTACCTAATGTAAAGCTCATTAATCTTAAAAAAACATTCCACCTCTAGGATCTGTCAAATTGTCTTAACAAGCAGTTAAAATTTGAAATAAATTAAGACATTAAATTCCATTTTCAGTGGCTGAAAGACAACGTCAGCAACGTCAAATAACCAAAGTTCATCTACAGCAGTTGAAATAATAAGCTAAACATCCAATTTTCTCATTTGATATAGCTGTAGAGTTAGATTGTAACACACATGCTGTCAGCTTTATAAGCCAATAACTCCATTAGGCAGATTTCTGCCAGAATGCCTCATTTTCAGAGGAAGCTGATAAAAAGAGTAACTAATGTTTGGGTCAAGTTGCTGACAAGTTCTTTACCCACATTTATATTGATTTTAAAATATCAGTAGTGAGACAGCCGTCTTTCCCCACTGTAAGAAATCAGTGATGTGGCCAACTCTTTGTAAATGCTCACCTTGAAAATTTGCTGGGCCCCTCCCCATCTTCATCATCAAAGTCCATTCTGTAAAAGCAAGATTTCCAAATCAGCAATCAAGACGTTGGCAATGGTGGGGTGAACATTCACCAGCGGCTCTCGGTGTTGTTGGGTTTTGTTTTGGCTGGAGGTGTTAAAGACTGAGGATTCCAGACTTGCTCACATTCTCCACACCCAGGAGCAGCTCATCAGCTGATTTATGTCCCATACCTTCTCAAGGCAATGGAAGAGATGAGTTCTTCCTTGGGCCCMATCCCAGCCCTCCAGTTTGGCTCCTGCAGGGAGCCACAAACCTCTTTCTTCACTTTTTACATGGACAGACCAGGAAGATTATCTTCATAATTAAGATACCTACATTAGACAGTATGATTGTCTCATTCTCATAGATATTACCACTATAAAGTTATAGAATAGTGTAAGTTACAAAGCATTTTAGATATTTTTATACCYCTAAAAAGAGGTGGATAAAAAAAATATATATCCCCAATTATAAGGATGCAACTGCCATTAAAGTAGACAATGAAGCTGATATAAAACTATCACATACAATTATTGTATTAGCGTATTTTAATTAAAAAATAATTAGTATTATATACATTATATACAAATTAGTTAATTTGTGTAGACAGAAAATCAGTTTTGTCTTGCAAACATTTTGTCAGATTTCTTTAACACTCTAAGCTTTCTAACCTTTGAGTGTAATAAAACCTCATACAACTACAGATTCCATGTTTCTATCAATGTTCACATCAACAGGTGTAAGTCCTATTAAAGGCAAAACCCCTTCAAAGTGACAATCTCAGTATTAAATGAATTCCTATCAATTAAAAATTGAGATTTGTACRTCCAGAGTATGGGAACAAAGATGCCCAAGCACCCTCTAAACCTACATCAGCACAGAGAAGTACAAGTGCCTGTCAGGCACTGCCTTCTTTCCTAAATTCTGACAACCAGGACAGACTGGCCCAAAAAAAAATGKGTCTGAGTGCCAGAAACCTCGGTGTAATTGGGATGAGGGCAGCAAATCAGCACAGGAACTGGACATGGCACTAGAAAAGTTACAATAATATTTTCCAGATGGTAACGCTGATTATTCATTTCTGGAGGAAGCAAAGAGAAAACCATTTTCCCCAAAGAGTTTTATGAAAAGCTGTGTATTTAACTTGCTTAACTTTGATGCAATCATAATTTTCACTATAAATCACATCTTTGCTCATCTAATTACCACCAAATCTGGTTCCATGACCCTTCAGCTGCCTTTTGCAGAACACCACCGACCCCCAGTGGCCACTGCTCTCACTCATGCCTTGGTGGATCTAATTCCATGATTTTCTTAGCTTCCAGCCAAATACTCCATCGTGGCACTAAGGGATGGATTTTCCCCCAAAATCAAGTATTGGCTGTACTGCATTTTATCTACTTTATTATAACTGGAATACAATACAGARAATTACAGAGATGAGGACAGTTGAAGGCTTGATCCTGCTGCCTGCACTGTATCCTCACCCCTGAASGAGTAAAAGGTACAAACATCCCTATTTATCTTGATGGCTGGGTACCATCTTCTAATTTAGGAGTYAATAATGGGTTAATAATCCCAGGAAACACCTCCCACAGGTACCATGGGCTCATCACAGCAGAACCTGAGTGCACAGGGTACAATACCAGTCTTTAAATCTTTAAATATTGCCTTTGCTTTGTTAACTACCCAAACCCTTTACTCCATATGCAAGCTTATTTAAAAAAAATTGAACATAAGGTTCATAAAAATACCTTTAAAATACTTTAAAGAAGTGCAATAACAAACGTAAATCTGCCCCATCTTTGTTAATAAACACATTTCCTAATTTCACTGGGCAAAATGGGAAAACCCTTCTGAAACACTAAAAAAATCCCCTCAGGTAAAAAGTAATTGATTCCAATGTCCTGYCTGATCCACCGTGTCTGCTTTACAGTGAGGCAGAGGCAAAGACAGTGAATCAGTTGTAACCTTTAGCAGAACACAGCAGAACACGTAAAAATAATATTCCATCAACCTCCTCATACCCTGACAGATAAGATCTTCTGTTTAGATAGAATGTACTGCACATTAGCAAAACAGTAGAAGCGGCCTCCAAGAAGACAAATGACATCATTTCAGAAGATTCAGAAAGACTATCTTTTATCTTCATTTAAAATTCCCATTAAAAAGAGGCTTTAAAAAAGAGCTGCACTGTGCTCTTTTGTTTTGAAGAGACAGCATAAATCTTGTTTTCCTCTTTCATACTGTTCACATCAATCGTGAAAATGCCTGATGCATGAGGTACTTATTAAAATGTATTTCCCTTAAAAGATGTGCAGCTACCATAAATATAGCGATTTTTTTTTTTTTTTTAAATTTAATTATTCTCAATTAGAAACATTTTCAGAAAAAATTCCAACAAACCAAACCACCTCCAACAAGGTGGACCTGCACAGGTTTAAAAATTGACATGCGAGAGGACTGCAGAGCTGCAASAAAATTAGTATGTAAAATTCCCAAGAAATGTCAAAAGATGCTYGCCATGACTACAGAGTGTAGGAAGAGGGCAGGCAGGAATGATCAGGAGCAAACAGAGCTGAAGGGGCAGATGGGGATTTGTACTACATCCTTTAATTCAGAACAGTATTGGGGCTAGAATGGTGGGATGGGGYCTCTTTTCTCCAGATCTCGATAGTTCTGGTTTGGAGAAAAGGCAAAGCTGCACAGTGAACAAAACAAAACCAGAACAATTGAAACCAACTCCTCAAAAACCCCCAACCCTCCCTGCCCAAGTACAGAGAGCCCAGGAAGGCAAAAGAGCCCCTTATCCTCTAATACAACAAAGCCTAAATTAAAAACACATTAAATAAACAACTGAGGGCACATTAATCTAAGGTGGTCACTGACCACTGCAGTGCATTATCCTATGCTGTCACTTTTTTCTATGAACTACTTGGTATAATTTATAGAAAGGAAAAATATTTTTCCAAGCTGTCAATGCAGCCAAATGCCGACACGGCAGAAACACCTCCTGGATCGCCAATGAGTTTCAACTGATCTACATTCAAGTCCACACAGCAATTATTCTGCCAGCTTGCCTCAGCAATTATGAGAAAAGAAACAATTTTCACAGATAACCAAAACTGGGAAAGCTGGCTGTGTACACCAGCCCCACTCCTTTATGTTTGACACAAAATATTCATTTCTAAARTGCCCAAGGATTGAGGTGTATGGAGATGTATCACCAGAACAGCAATGAAAGGATCAAGTGTTAGCTGCAACTTTGTTCAAAGAGAGGCTGGGAGGAATTAGACACAGGAGGCATTCTTTCCCTCAAGGTCTGAATACACACACAATGAACATAAAAAAAAAAAAAAAAAAAAAAAAAAAAACCAAATAAAAAAAGCAGCACTCTCAGCTCAGGCTTGGAGAAGGGCTGTTAGTTCAGAGCTATGGTGCACAGATGAAATATCACCACCCGGTATAAAAGGGAATCTATACTAATTTACAGAATTTGCATGTTAAATACATTAAAAATAATTTGATTTTATGTTCCTCCTCCCCTCCCCTCCCTTCGCCTTCTCACAAGTAGATGACAATACTTAAAATGCAACAGTTAAAGTATTTCAATTAATATCAAGTCAGTATTTAATATAATCAGAATATTTCACAGTCAGCAGCATCAACCCTTGGCAACAGTAAATTGCAAACTGATATTCAGAGCTGACATGGTTTGTGATCAAAAAAGAGATCAAATATCCTGCAACTCAAGTACAAARCCTTATCTATGTTATGTAGCAATAAAAAGATGTTAATGCTTTCTCTTCTCTTTTGACTGCAAATTTTAAAAGGGTTTTTTCATTGAGCAGCTTGAAAATAAAAATGTGATGCCTGTCAAAGCCAGATTTTAGGAGTTACCAAATCAATCTCATCCAGTCAGCTCAGCATAAGAAGGGCACTCAGTGGGGGGAGATATTCMAACTGTTCTGTTCAAAGGAACACCCCCAGAACAAGCACCCTGAGTGTTCACATCACACCAGCTCAGCTCTGGTTCGAGGCAAGGCCAACCTTCTCCCTCATTAATTCAGCCCAAGATCGAGATTCCAGCACTGTCACTCCAGCAGACACATAAAACTGGCAGTGTACCTGGGTGAACAATCCCTAGAGCAGCTCTTGCAAGGAATAATGTCCTCCAACTTAGGAGTTTGCCAGTGAAGATTTTACTCACACTATCGATCCTGTTAAGCCCTACCACTGTCTTATTTAGGGCTGAAYATAAGACTGATCAATCTCTTCTGAAGATCAGATATCTCTGAGAAAGCATCACCCAATGACAATTCTTGCTGGTGATCAACCTTTGATAAAAACAGGGGGGTTGGCAACACAGAGTGGTTTTCTGCTCTTCTCAAGCTCTTGCTACACTTTTCTTCTAACACACCGAATTACTATGCTCTGCCACAGAGCAATCTGATGTGGAAAACTACCCTGATACTTCATCAACCTCTAAAGTTAGGTAAAACAAATCTTCTTCAGCAGAGCCCTCAAGCTGGTGTAAGAGCCAAATCTGATTCAGGCCCTCATCCCAGAAAAGACTGTGCTGCCCTTCCACTGACACCTAGAATATCACAGTCCACAATCTCTGAAGAGTGACTGCTCGTGCTATTCCTGTACCTGGAACTATAAAAAAAACCTTTAACAGGCCTGCATTTCAGAGATYCCAAGTGTAACCTTCAGAGGAAGTTGAGTGAGTCTGCATGTGCAGTCTTGCTACCTTTATTCACATGATAAATCATTGTGAGATTAAACAGATGTAGGCAGGATACATTCATTATTTTTACAACAGCCACGGGATCCAAGCTCCTTTCTGGATGCTTTGCCAAACCTGAAAGTCCTTTGAAACAAGCAAAACAACAAGCCACACACTTATCAGCAAGTTTGATCTTGCAGGAAGAACAGATGCATTGAAGAGAAAAAGAAAACATCAGTGACTAATGTCAGAATGCAGCTTACATAAATAAAACATTACATAATAAATGCACACATATATACAGGGTTATATATGTATAAATACACATATTTAGGGTTTTACAATACATGTAATTTCCAGTTTCAGATCTGAAAAATAGAAAAAATAGGAAAAAAAAAAGATATGGCTTACCCAGAGCGCCGCTTTCCTCCTCTGGAAGGCATGGATCCTGCCATCCTCACCTGCCCACTCGCCATGGGAGCCACTGGCAAGGCCACTGAGCCAGGAATGTCTGATGCCATTTCTGTAAGGCAGACACAGGGAAAGAGGTGGGGGAAATCMTTTAATCCATTACCTTCAAGGAGAAACCTCTGCTGATAACATTAGAGACAGGCCCTTCCCAAAACAAACAGAGAAAGCTTTCCTTTTCATTTCTAAGGAAATGTAAAGCTCTCCCACTAAAACCCAGCAGATTCACATCCTTTAMAGAAGCTCAGTTGAGTCAATAGCCATTGCAGGTAGTCCCTCTGTAATTCCACTGACCTAATGGTTCTCATTTTAATCTCAAAGGGGCTGTCAGATGAAGGCCAACAACCTCCTTCAGCAGTGAAAGTGTTGTACAGAAATGAAAAGCTGAATTCCCAAGACAAATGAAGCTGCAGATCATGGTACCAGGGTACCAAGAAAAATAAAAGTTCAAAAACTCAGTTTTCCAGAGAGGCCAAGAGTTGAGAGCAGAGATGAATTATAGGTGATACTGGTTTTTATTATTTATATTCTGGAGGCATTCAGAGRGCCAGGCTGAACTTAGAAGAGCTCAAAGCCTTCCTGCATTACTGCGTGGTGTTTTGCAGAGCAGAACTGAGCCTAAAATCTATGCTAAATTCATCCCTCTGCCAGGGCTCAAGGTATAGCCACAGATTAATGAGATCCTCAGACCTCAAAACTTTGATGTGAGAAACTGCAGAAGCTCACCTTACGCAATGATTTTCAGACTGCTAATGGCAAGTACTTCTAAAGTTTATTAATAACAGTTCATTACACTTCAAAAAAGAAAAGTGGAATATAACATATTCATACCCTTTTCTTCTGTGCCATTATTAAGCATGGGATTAAGAATGTTTTTCCTCTGTATAACTCTTATAAACTGTATGAGCAATTAAAACTTTTTTTTTTTCCTGCACATATACTTTATTCACTCTGGAGGCAAAATCTACAGTCAAAACATTTAATTATCTTGAAAGAAAGTGCATCTTCCTTCCAACTTCTTAAAAAAAAAACTTGGCAAGGTATCTGGAACTACAGCTAAATATAATTACTAATGGAAAGCAAATCTGTTTAAAAAATTGTGCTATTTTTTTCCCCAAGATAAGTATGAAATAACCTCAATTATGGAAACAGGAATCCATGCTCTTTCATTACATCTGGAGAGCACTTCCATCTCTRCCACACTTTATATACATCCATTATGCAACATTATGCATTTCAAATAATAACATTTGATCTGTTCACTGATTTCATGTATTTCTTCCAGTACATTTAGTTTTATGAACTCCTTTTCAACTAAAGAGCAACCGAGCAATCCAGTATTTTTTAWCCAAGTCTGCAAGGCCAAACAATGAGACCTCTGCCTACACTCCCAGACCACAKMAAGYTCCTCAGTGKCKAAAGCTGAAGYTATGTGGAAACACAACATTAATGCATATTTGCATATCTCCAGACAAATAAAAATATCAACATGCAAACAACTGGTAAATCACTCCAGAAGAAGTAGCCTTGGCTGTCTAATGCCCACAATTCACTSGGAACATTCAAACTCATCTTTCATGGACAGAACTGAAGGTCATTTTGAAATGCTCTGCTCACTCATTTATTAAAGCAGATGGTGAAAACCATAATAAATCTACCTGCAAAGTGTCCCCGTCACCMAGAAACACATTTCAGCATAGATCATCAGGAGATCAGATTTTTTAAAAGTAATAACAGTAATACAATTTCAGATCATCTCTGAGTAGTATTTTAAGAGAGTAAGAACAATACCATATTTGATACTGCAATGAGAAATTCTTGTAACCTCATTTTCCTCAGTCTAAAGATGATGARAAAGCAGGCCAAGGGTTGGATTAATCTACACTTAAAAGTCCAAAAGCCAAAGCTAATTATTTAGGGTTACTTTACAGCTCACCAAAAAAAAAAAAAGGAAACAAAGTGAGCATGCATCAGACACAGACCAAAAGGAAAAAAAAAAACTTAAGTCTTAAGAGTAGCCCATGATTGTGTATAGTTACATAAATTTAGGGCAGTCCCAATTACTCTGTTGGAGCATAAATTAGTATGGAAGCCCAGACCTGCAGAAGGAGTCAAGTTGGTTATAGTAGATTAAAAAAACAAAACCAAACCAAACCAACAAACAAACAAACAAACAACAAAAAAAAACCACCACAAAAAAAACACCCAGAAAAAACCCATCACCACATGCTTGGTCAACAACCATGAAGATTGTGTTTTCAGGCTTATCTCAACCCACGCCCACATTCATGTTAACACTGATGTTCATAGAAGTGTTTCAGCAGCAACAAGTGTTAGGAAACAAGCTGTTCTCTTTGAGAGATTGAATGTTCAAAGAGTGGACTTCCCTTCTGCCAATGGAAATAAAACAAGCGTTATAATTGACCCAAAATTACAACATGAACATAAGGGTGTAATTCTCAGGAAGTAAAACAGGGTCAGGCTGAACATTCACAAAAATCATCTGTAACTGTCAAGGCAGTGTTCTGAACAAATTTCTTTAAAATCTTTAAAAGGTGTTCCTTAGTGTCAAACAGAAATTACTCTTTTGCTGAAAAAAATGCATGCAGTATTTCATTTGGAGATTAGAGAGTTCCTAGAGATCTGCCAAARAACACAGAAATGTTATTAGAACAAAACCCAGCACAACACTCAGAATCTTCAGTGAATGTTCCTCTAGCTGGACAACACTGAACAACTCTTATCACTGTTACAGCCAAAATCCTGCCAGTAACACTGATGCTCATCTGGGGGATCCTGAGGAGTCACATTAATCCAAGAACAATGTAAATGCTCAGTGTAAAAGCAGAATTAGTCCCTACATTTATGTCCAGCCCTAATTTCTCTGCTGAACATCCCAAGTTTGGACATGACTTCAGTACGACGGTCAACCCCAAAATATTCACRGTTGTTTCTGAAAGAAAAGACAGCCTGCAAATGTACATTAACAACACTGGGATAAAATGTAAGGATTTATTCCCAAAAAAAAAAAAAAATCCATGTTCATCTCAAGCTGTTATACAGATCTGCAGAAGAAACAGAGCACTGTTTCGCAGAGCAAAGCACAAAGAGCAAGCTGAACGCTGCACAAGGATACCACGAAAGTGCACGAGAACCCCAAYGATGGCACCAATTACTGAAAAGTGCAGCACACCAGGATGAACCTGGACTCGTCTTTCTTGGCAGGGAATTATTAAACCACAGCTCTTAAGGCCAAACTTTAAATGCTGAGCCCCACCCCAGACCCAGTGCCTGAAATGCAGCTCTATCTTGTTTGTGACACAAATGTGTGACTGTGTGGTATCCCCCAGAGAGGGCAGCTCTGGCCAGGTATCCTCACAGGCAGCACCACAGCTCCAGAGATGTGCTGCTCTGCTCCTCTACACAAGCCACAGAATTCATCCTGCTGGGAAGCTCTGAAATACAACCACACACTGTGCATGATGAGATTTTCTAAGTCCATCTCACAAAAGGTTCTACTGATGACACCATTTTCAGCCWCTCCAGCAGCCGAGCTGTGCTCCCCTCACCTGCACATGGCAGACACGGACAGGGCCAGGTTTAACCCCAAAAACTACTGGGGAAATGCTTTCACAGACTGCCAGAGTCTTTGAATCCCTGACATGAGCTGCAAGGACCAGCTCCAGGTTTGCTATTCCATGTCAGGTACCACTGAGCATGCTCTCCACAGGGCTCCTTTATCCTTCAGCGTCTACTGCAATAAACAGGATTAAAGTCAGATACCAGCATCTGACTAAACCAGAGGAAATTCTGCTTTTATCAATACAAATACGACAGATTTCCAGCACTAATCCACAGAACGACTGAGATGTCAATCACCTCCAAGTAAATGTGGATCTAAGGCTAAACACAGAATTATCAATGTGCCCAATCCCATCAACAGCATCGTAYACAGTGATTTCAAAATGTTCTTTTAAATATTCTAAGAAAGCAGATTTCAAAAACCTCTTCAGAAACTGTATTTTTCATTACCCTGAAGTCATACAGGAGTTAGATGCATCTCAGCTAAATGGTTTTGATTGCAGTCAGTTGCAAARGGGATTTTCTGCCTAGCATAGAGACATTTAAGAATAAACTATATCATAGCTCTTACTTTAGAATATGCCAACAAAAATACGAAGCCATCATGCAGTCAAAAATATTTCACAGAAACACTACTGCTAAAAAATCTAGCTGTATATTTAGCCATTGCTTTYATGTGTTAACTACGGAGATTATAAAACAGAGCTCACTCTCAAAGAATMTAAAAAAATACCATTTTCATTGTTCCTGATAACTCTGTTAATACTGTTTTACTTGCATTCCGTTGCCAGACACTTTAAATACACTCCCCATCAAAAACATCTACTGTAGAGAGGATATGCAGAAAAGCAAAAACATTCCTTTCCATGCTCTCGACAGAATWACGACTACAAATAAATCACAAAATATAAGAAATCCCACCTTTAAGGAAGACTCTTACAAAGATGCTATTTCTTTCCTGGGAACAAAACCTTCTTGAAGAGAAATTTTATCCGCATATAAGAAGAGTCAGAAACCTCTGGGAAGAAATGTAGCAGCATTGGTATTCTGCTCAGAAAATGTCATCACAGATCTGTTTACCTTAACTGTGGACCATGATTCAGCCGGTGACAACCGTCTTGCATACTGATCAATTTATTTGCAGCAAAATTACTAACATTTTCTACTTTAACCATTTAGGTTCTGGAAAGAGCTACTAAGACTGGAAGGGTTTTTATCAATTATATAAAAATCCTAATTAACTAAAAACTTTCCCCTCCACCACAATGCCCTGTGCTTTTGGGGTGTGAGCAGGGGTCCACCCCTCATCCTGAAGATAAAGTAGGGCATGTGGTGAGTAGTTACTAGAGAAATGCTTCCTTTTTTAAATTGAAAATCAGAGCTTTATCCTCTGCCTGCATCACAGGTGAATGTTAAGCACACTTGAAGGGGGGGAGATGATGCCATTCAGCTGCTCAGTTGAGGGGGCAYGGT